GAAGACGCATCGGCGCTGCGAGGTCCCGTGGGAAGCTGCCTTGGGCCGTTGTTCGGCTGAACCAGCCAATCTGTTCCTCTCTGCCTGCTAAGGCAGCTAGGATTTCGTGGACGTGTCCACGTGCCAGGCTTCCACAGAGGATCTCCTGGGATACTCACAATTTATGATTATTTCTCCATTTTACAGATGTGGGAACTGAGGTGCGGAGATGTTAAGAGGCTTAGTCATGCAGCTAGGAAGTAGTGGGATTCAAACTAAACACAGCCACCTGCCAAGTGCTAAAACCCTTGGCATGGATGGGGCAGGTATCCCAACACGGGATTAGTACCAGGTGCTGCAGGCTCTTAGCTTCTAGTACAGGTGCACCTTGACTGGCAACGGGTACGTCCTGATAAAACCGTTACAAGCTGAAGATATTGTCAACAGAAAACACATCCAATACCCTTCACCGACCACACATCCTAGCTGACCTGGGCGTCCTGCTCCTGGGCCCCGCAGCAGCTTAGGCTGGTTCTTGGGAGCGTGTGGAGGCGGGGGTCAGAGGTCCCCGCTCCCTGGCCTGTGGCCTTCCTTAGGCTACGCAAGGCCTGCAGTGCATGGCCGGGGGTGGGGGGTGGGAGTGGTTTCAGCAGCAGGGCCGGGACAGCAACGCCATGGTCACAGGTGTTGATTGCAGGTAACCGGAACCCGTGTTACTTGTTGGGACGGAACCTGAGGCTTTACCGAGTCAGGGCGGGGGGGGGGGGGGGTGCCGGAGAATTCTAGGGGTCGCTGGCTCCAGACCCAAAGTTCTGGAAAAGAGTGTCTGGCATCACTTAGATCAGGTGACCCAGATCACGTGACAGTGCTGGTGGGATGGGGGGGGGGGGCGGGGGGCAGAGGAAGGACCAGGAGGCCCTAGCGGCTGCCAGTGCAACTCACCCTTCAGCGAGACTGGACACAGGGCAGCTTCCTCGGAAAGGGAGATGAGGGTGGGGGTGTGACTGCAGGCCACGGGACGGAGGGGCGCCGTGCACACCCCGCAGCCCCATCCTCTCTAAGCAGACGAGCCCTGGTGTGGGGACCTCCAGGGTCTGGAAGCCAAGCTTGGCTGCCTCTCAGCAGACGGCAGTGGGAAGTGCCCAGAGCTTGGAGTCAAACGGACTCTATTCACATCTTAGTTCCTCACCCGTTTTGTGGCCTTGGGCCAGTGCCTGGACCCCTGGGTGTTGACCTTCTCATCTGAGAACCGTGGATAACAAGTCAGCCATTCTGGTTTGTCTTGTTTTGAGGATTTTATTTATTTAATTATTTTTTTGACAGGCAGAGTGGACAGTGAGAGAGACAGAAAGGTCTTCCTTTGCCGTTGGTTCATCCTCCAATGGCCGCCGCGGTCAGCGTACCGCGCTGATCCGAAGGCAGGAGCCAGGTGCTTCTCCTGGTCTCCCATGGGGTGCAGGGCCCAAGTACTTGGGCCATCCTCCACTGCACTCCTGGGCTACAGCAAAGAGCTGGCCTGGAAGAGGGGCAACCGGGACAGAATCCGGCGCCCCAACTGGGACTAGAACCCGGTGTGCCGGCACCGCAAGGCAGAGGGTTAGCCTATTGAGCCACGGTGCCGGCCATATTTTATTTATTTTAAAGGCAGAGTTGTAGAGAGAGAGGGAGAGAGAAGAGATGGAGAGAGAGAACTTTCATCCGCTTGTTCACTCCCCAAATGGCTGCGATGGCCAGGGCTGGGCCAGGCTGAAGCCAGGAACCAGGAGCTTCTTCCAGGTGTCCCACGTGGGTGCAGAGGCCCCAACACTTGGGCCATCTTCTGCTGCTTTCCCAGGCACCTTAGCAGGGAGCTGGGTTGGAAGTGGAGCAGCTGGGACTCATTTGGGATGCCAGCATCCAACGCTATGCCTTAACCTTCCACACCACAGCCCTGGCCCCAACTCAGCCATGTTACACCGACTCAGGATAATTTAGGGACCATAGACTCCAACTGCAGTTCCATCTGTAACGTACCAGGCATTTTGGGGGAAAGCACAGGGCTTCTCTGATCCTGATTTCCCGTCTACATCGACAGAAGAAAGGCGGACTCAATGTGAGTCAGACTTGACTTTGACCTGATGTTGCTGTGATCTGCTGTAAGAGTCTGACCCCGTTACTCAGCTGAACTAAAAGTAGCCCAACAGGGTGGATGTTGTGGTACAGCGGAGTTAAACTGCCAAGGAAGTGCCCGTATCCCATGTTAGAGTGCTAGTTCAAGTCCCAGCGACTTCGCTCTTCCAATCCAGCCAGAAGCCTGGAGCTTCCGCCAGGTCTCCCATGTGAGCACTGAGGCCCAAGGACTCGGGCCATCTTCTGCTGCCTTCCCAGACCACAGCAGGGAGCTGGATCGGAAGTGGAACAGCCAGGACTGCAAGTGGTGCTCATATGGGATGCTGGCATTGCAAGCGGTGGCTTAACCCGGCCCCCAAATGTCCCCTCTTTATGTCACCAGTTGTACTGGGTCAGGACCCACTCAGAAATAACTCATTTTAATTTGGTGAGCTCTGTAAAAACCCTGTTTCTGAATCAGGCCAGGTTCTGAGGCCCTGGGGGGAGGAACTACAGCTTCTCTTCCCTGGGGGCTGGGCAGGGGAAGTCAGCTCCCACCTCACAGCAGGTGCTCCCCCCCTACCAGCTGAGACGATGACTCAGAGCAGGCCTCGTGAAGATCTGTGGAGTCAGTGACGGGATGCAGCCTGGTGGTGTTTTTAATTCTTCAGCGAATTCCCTACGAATCCCAGAGCTGCCCCCGGTCCTGGCTTCGGATCAGCCCAGCTCTGACTGCTGGGGAGTGAACCAGGAGATGGAAGACCCTTTCTCTCTCTCTCTCTCTCTCTCTCTCTCTCTCTCTCTCTCTCCTCTCTGTCTCCTCTCTCTCTCCCTATCTCTGCCTCTGCCTCTCTGTAACTCTGCCTTTCAAATAAGTAAATAAATCTTTAAAAAAATTGAATTATCTGGCCAGAGCTGAACAGCATCTCCTGGCCCCCAGCAATGAATCAGGGCTGCAAGGGGTGGGATGGGCGTGGCTCCAGGGCTTGGGAGACCGGTGGGTTCCTGCGGCCTTTGGCCCAGGTACCCGCCCCACCAGGAAACTGTAACCAAATGAGGGAATGCCCGCCCTTAATTCTCCACCCTTAGGGGAAGGGGTTCATATGCCTTGAGCATATATGGTGTGCCCAGAATGTTCTATCTGGTACAGCAAAGTGACTCAGACTCCTGCAGTCTTCCTGTGGCGCGGCCCTGGGCCTCTCTGTGCCCCAGGGTCCTCGCTGATAGATCTGGGGCCACCCTAGCACCTACCTTACCTACAGCGCACGTGATAACGGAGGTGACACACTTGGCACAGCACCGCCAGATGCAGTCAGCACACAGTGTTGTGGCAGAGCTGTTGACAGAGGAGCGGGCTCTGGGCTGTAATCAGAGTCTGTTATCACAGCCGTGCTGGTGCTGCAGGCCCTCAGCCCTGGCTCTCTTCCCGCCTCCTCCCTCTCTGCTCTACTTCCTTAGGATCCAAAGTGCTCCTCCTCCGGGGGCTTTCGGAATCCCCCAGCGATCCTAGGGGACTGGGACCCTAGCCGCTGTCTCGTGGGTGAGGGACCCGAGACTCAGAGAGGTGCGGCAAATCATCGGTGTTGGGAGGCAGGACTTCAGGCCGGGCAGATGGGTCTGGGGGGCGCATGGCCGCCCCCTGCCCCTGCAGTTCCTCTCCATCCTTAGGAGCTGAACGCGGGCTTCTCCCTGAGGTTGGCCTGCCTGGCGAGCTGGCTCTCTGATGGCGTCAGCACCCTGGAGAGGCCCCAAGCAGTGCCTCCCCCAGGGCCAGTAGCTGGTGATAAAGGCAGAGCCTGTGTGAGGCCTCAGGATTCCCACCCGCAGCCCCTGGAGTCCTCCCGCAGCCCCACCCTCCCCGGCCCCACGGGTGAGCCAACTCAGGCTCCGAGAAGCCCTGCGGCTTCCTCCTGTCGCTGGGTCAGAGTTGGCCTCTAGCCCTGGGCTGGCTTTCTGGACTCTTCCCCTCACATCCTCCGGTGGGGCCGCCTGTTCTCTCCGATCCCCCCCAGTACAGCCTGGCCCCATCCGGCTTCTGGTGCTTTCTCCCCGCTGCTGCCGGGGGCCAGAAGATGATTGGGACTGGCTGGGCTTCAACAGGGGTGGTAGGGGTGGTGGTCAGAGCAGTGTCCCCAGGGCACAGAGGCCACGTGCTAGGGATGATGCCAGGAGACTGATGGCTATAGGACCTCTCTGATTTCCACAAGATGAGGTTCAGGGAAGTAAGGTGACCATGTAAGGGCAAGGATGGGCCAGGCGGGGTCTCCAACTCAGAATTCCAATGTTCTGGCTCCCACAGCAGAGGGGGTGGGCGGGGACGGCCGTCTCGTTATCACTCTTTTCTTTAGCAGAGAAGGTCCTGGGGCTCTTGGCCTCTTGGGAATTTTAAAGATTTATTTATTTATTTTGGAAGTTATTATGGAGAGAGAGAGAGAGAGAATGATCCTCCATCAGCCAGTTCACTCCCTTCACTCCCCAGATGGCTACAATGGCCAGGGCTGGGCCAGGCTGAAGCCAGGAGCCAGGAGTTTCATCTGGGTCTTCCATGTGAGTTGCAGGGGCCCAAGCACTTGGGCCATCTTCCACTGCTTTTCCCCAGGCCATTAGCAGGCAGCTGGGTCAGAAGTGGAGCAGCCGGCCCTGCTAGTGCACCTGGGAAAGCAGCAGAGGGTGGCCCAAGGGCTTGGGCCCCTGCACCCATGTGGGAGACCCAGACAGCCAGGCTCTGGCTGTTGTAGCCATTTAGGGAGTGAACCAGCAGATGGAAGATATCTCTCTTTGTGCAACTCTGCCTTTCAAATCAATCAATAAATATTTAAAACAAGAAAAATGGAGCCATTGGAACATGAGCCAGCGCCAGCGTCACAGGCGGTAGCTTTACCAGCTACACCACAACATCGGCTCCCTCTTCGGAATGTTGAGGTTCCTGGACTTGGTTTCCTGTTCCCCGTGGTGACCTGCTTCCTGGTTGTCATGGAGGTGCTCTACAGGGGACAGCATGAGGGGCAGGAAGAGGCCCTGGGTTCACTCCCAGCGTTGACCAGCTGTGCAGGTCTAGGCAGTGGGTTCACCTCCCTGATCCTCGGTCTCCTCCTCTCTGTGAGAGGACAGTGATGGCCCCTGCTTTCCAGGGTGGTTAGGAAGCTTCCCTGAGGCCAGGCACATAAAGTAGTGGGGCTCCGCGTGGCGCGCAGTGGGGGGTCGGATGGCGGTGCACCTGCTGCTGTGCGGGCTGAAGTGATGTCATCATTTGCACCTGACGCCCGCGTGCAGCTTTTCTTCTTGGTGAAGGGTTTCAGAAATAGAATGGGACCCGTCCTGCTGGCAGCATCCCAGACTGCACATTCCCAAGGCCAGCAGGAAGTCGTGAACCATCCTCTTTCCTCCCTCCTCGGGAGACAGGGTGTTCTGCAGGCCCGCTTGTCACCTTAAACACATGGGCCCACTCTCACTCACTCTCTCTCTCACTCTCTCGCGCTCATTCTCTCACTCATGCACCCACTCTCTCTCTTCCTCACCCACTGACTCTCACTCACACACTCTCACTCTCTCTCTCTCTGTCTCTGTCTCTCTGTCTTTCTCAGCACCAGGAGTGGATAAAGCCGATGGCATGGGGTCCGAGTCACCCTGGGTGACTTGCAGGACAAAAGCCCCCCGATTCTGAGAGCAGTGGCGTGCACACGAATGTTTCTGTTTTCCTCCGTGCGAGTTCACAGCGGGTGTGAGCCATGTCCACAGTGCTGGGCCCTAGCCGTGCCCTCAGTTCCTTTGGCTTCTGGGGTTAGGGGGGGTGATTCGGTTCAACCAGCTCATCTGGGGAAAAGGAAGTTCGGAGAGGGAGACCCTGCTGCACAGGGAACCATGGAGCAGGGCTAAGGCCCCAGGGCTCTGGTGGCAGAGTTCTGTCCCCCTGTGGGACAAAGGCACAGTAACCATGAACGGAGCCCAGCCTGCTGGGAGGGCAGATGCACTGTGCCCCATGGGCCCCTCTGAGCCTCCAGGCCTGGTCCCAAATCCAGGGCCTTTGGATGGAAAGAATGTATTGTCTCTCACCCTCTGCCCCCTGGCTGAGCCCTGTGCCTGTTGACCGTGGCACATCGTCACCTTTCTGGCAGACGCCTCCCGTGTGTTAGGAAGCCAGAAGGGTGAAGAGGAGACACAAGACCTTCCGGATGACTGTGGCGGGAGAGGCAGAGGTTCCTGGTAAGGACGAGGACGGTTGCATTTATGGGACCTCTTATCTTTATGGCCGAAGCTCAGATGGGATGCGGTAACCGAGACAGCACCAGCCGTAGAGATTAAGATCGGTAGTGTGGGCCGTGTGTAAAATGGGCAGCTGGCCCTGCTCTGGGCTGGGCACAGTCCTCCGAACCCCAAGGGTCTCTGTTAAGTCAGGGTCTCATGGTGCAGCGCTGGGGAAATCTGGGGGTGCAGGGATGCTGGGAGTAATTCCCAGAGCCTCCTCCTCTTCCAGCCCTCCCCACTTTGCTGGCCGCAGGTGGGGCTCCCCCCACCCCCACTCCACAGCAGCGGAGGCATCAGCTTCTCTCCTTCCCACCCTGCGGGTGACTCAGTGGGAGACCCAAACAACCAGGACCTCAAGCGAGGAGAGGGGGTGGGCACAATGGCCAGCACTGGAGGAAGCAGAAGCCGACTCCCGGTGGGCGTCCCGCTTCCCAAGAGGGAAAATGTGTAACAGCCAGCAATGGGAACAAAGTGCCATCAAACCAAACCAAATCAAACTAAAGCAAGGAAATAACAAGGGCCACATCGGTTAAAAAAATAATAATAAAAAGAGTCCCGGTTCTATTTTGCTCTGCAGCAGGACCAATATTTTCCATACTTGCATCAGGTTCTATAAAGAAAAGCCAGGAGCATTGGAATAAGAGGAACAGGAGGCCACCTTGGAGCGTGCCGGTGGTCGGTGCCTCCTCCCCACCCCGCCAGGTTAGCTGCGCTGTCCCCAGGGCAGGTGCGAGCCCATCAGCCCAGGGTGGCCTTGTTGACCTGATTTGGGCGTCTGGGCTTCCATGTGCAAGTGCAGCTGGCGGGCGATCCCGAGGCATCCAGTCTTAGCTCGCGGCCCCTTACCCTGTTCCAGTGGAAGTCACAGACCCAGAGCGGGCTGCAGGGGCTGCCCAGGCCCGGGGCACTCAGGCGATGGAGGCGATCTCGCTGTGCTTCTGCTCTCCGCAGAAGAGAGTCCTGGGGGTGCCCAGGCTGTGGGGGTGGCAGCAGAAGAGCAGGGACATCAGCAAGGCCAGGGCGATGATGAGTGCCAGCACCCACCGGATAACGCCTGGGTAGATGAAGGGCAGGATGACGAAGATGAGCAGGGCCAGTAGGAGCAGGTGCGCAGCCAGGCGCCGGGCTGCCACGCGGTTGGCACTCACTGTGCCCGGCCCGTCCTCTCCCACGGAGCTGGGGAGCGCCGTGGCTGAGGCAGCTGGGCCTGTCAGCTCCTGAGGACAGAGCTGCACCTCGCGGCACGGCTGGGCCAGCCATCCCACCACCTCTTCCTGGTTGCGCAGGCTACAGATGAGGCCCCCAGGGACGGCCGTGAGCTTTCGGCACAGCGGGCAGGTGATGGACCAGGCGTCTTCCTGCACGCACAGCAGGAGCTTCAGGCAGACGGCGCAGAAGGTGTGCTGGCAGCTCAGCAGCTTGGGCGACCGGGCGAAGCTGTAGGGTTCCCGGCACACCAGGCACTCCAGCTCGCACTCCACGGAGCCGGGGGGACCGCGGCTGAGACCTGCGGCTGCTACGGCCGTGGTGGTGGCGCCTGCCAAGACGGCCTGGGGCTGCTGCAAGCCCTCGGCACAGGCCATTCTGGGCACGGAGCAGGCAGGTCTCAGCTGCTCAGCGCCCGAGCATCCGCCGGGAGCGCCTGCTGGTGTCGCTGGGGCCTGGAGGAAGTCCCACCCGGCGCTGGAGGTTCCAATTCCCCTCCAGCTCTCCCCCGGTGCCTGCTCACAGCAGCTGTCTGGCACTCCTCCGCTCCAGGGCTGCCCGGCTTGTTTCTTGGCATCTGTTGTTATTATTTCTCTTCTCCAGACCTAGGGTTAATCAGTAACTCGCAAGCCTGGAGACTTTGAGTTGCCAGATAGGCGGGCTTGAGGGGGCGGGACTTTCCTGTTGGGGCCAGGTGCCAGATGAGTGTCCAGAACACGTGGCCCCTGAGCTTTGGGATGCATCAGCACCCACTCAGCCTGCCCAAATGCAGATTCCTAGGACTCAACCCCAGAGACCGAGACAAGGTCTGAATAGGATGGCAAAAAGCTACACAGTAAACACCGTGTCGCTTCTGGCCTGCAGGTAGGTGGGCTGGTGAAGCAGGGAGAGGAAAGAATTCTCCCACTGGGCCGGGGTGGAGGACATCCAGCCAGATCCAAACCAGACCACCCACAGCCCACGGGCATTTAGTGCCTTCAGCCCCTTGTGGTCTCAGCATTGTACCAACAGTTAGCAGATTCGCGAGCATCTCCCCGGAGCTTTGCTCTGCCTAAGTGCCGGGTCACAGGTGCCATTTGTTGTGTGTGTGTGTGTGTGTGTCTGTGTGTGTCTGTGTGGGTGGGTGGGTGAGTGACGCCACCGTATCCCCAGCAGTAGGAGGAACAGCTGCCACTGTTCATTTGGGCCTATTTTGAGCCAAGCCGTGTCCTCATCTGTGAGCTCCTGGAGGCCTGGCCCTGACCGGAAGGCCTGGAGACGAGGGCAAAGTGTGGTCCGGGAGGCCGACTGGCTGCCTGCCCAGAGGCCTTCCACAGGGGCGGGAGCTTGTGCAGTCTCCCAGGGCCCAAGGTCAGGTTCGCGGTCTCCCGGGACTCCTCGCTCTTGCACAGGCTGTTGGCCTGCGGGCAGCTGACTCATGCTCACAGGCCCCAGGTGCGACTGACAGATGTGTGAGCCTGTTACCGTGCCTGAAATCCGGCCCGCAGGGGTGTGGCGCGTTCACCCCCTCCAAAGCCCCTCTCAGCTCGGCTCTCCTTTGCTGCTTGTGGCACCTGCTAAGGGTCACACAGTGTCCAGCCCTTGTCCTCAGCCCGAGGGGCAGGCACTGTGGGGCTGAACCCTGTGTGCTGGCATCACCCCTTGACGGAGGCTTTCCCCTTTGTAGAAGGGCTTCTGCCTTTTTTTTTTTTTTTTTAAAGATTTATTTATTTGAGAGGCAGAGTTAGAGACAGAGAGGGAGCTTTTTTTTTTTTTTTTTAATTTTTTTTGACAGGCAGAGTGGACAGTGAGAGAGAGAGACAGAGAGAAAGGTCTTCCTTTTGCCATTGGTTCACCCTTCAATGGCCGCCGCGGCCAGCGCACTGTGGCCGGCGCACCGCGCTGATCCGATGGCAGGAGCCAGGTACTTATCCTGGTCTCCCATGGGGTGCAGGGCCCAAGTACTTGGGCCATCCTCCACTGCACTCCCTGGCCACAGCAAAGAGCTGGCCTGGAAGAGGGGCAACCAGGACAGAATCCGGCGCCCCGACCAGGACTAGAACCCGGTGTGCCGGTGCCGCAAGGTGGAGGATTAGCCTAGTGAGCCGCGGCGCCGGCCGAGAGGGAGCTTTTCCATCTGCTCTTCACTCCCCAAATGGCTGGGCCTGGGCCAACCAGGAGCCAGGAACCAGGAGCTTCTTCCAGGCCCACACGGGTGCAGGGGCCCAAGCACTTGGGCCATCTTCCACTGCTTTCCCAGGCGCATTAGCAGGGAGCTGGATCAGAGCAGTGAGGACCGGAACCAACGCCCATATGGGATGCCGGTGCTGGCCCCAGGACTTCCACCCCTGTTAGACCCTCCGAGTGAGGATGCTAACACGTCGAGAGGCACACCCCAGAGACTCAGAGTCCAGACCAGCTGATGGAAAAGCAAGAGGATTTATTTGGCATCTGTGCAGACGGGCCTCCTGAACTCGGGAGTCCAGAGAGCGCCCCCAGCACAGAGCCACACGGTTTATATACCCGCAGCGACCAATCAAAAGCACTATAGAGTCCATGCACACAGCAGTCCAATCCGTGAGCTGTTCATGTGAAGGGCATGCGTCTTCTATCCAATCAGCTACGGGATCACATGGGAGGCATGCACCTCGTCGCCATTTTGTTGTTTACTTCTTCAGCAGTTCCTTTCCCTTGTTCGCCCTGAGGGGGACGACGTCTCGCTCCCCTCGTTCCCCTGGAGGGAGAGCAGCGTCCCGCTTCCCACACCGTTATTTGAGTATTAGGAGGTATACAAACTGGGTTAGGTCTTAGCACAGCCAGGCACAAGTGTCGCAGCTAGCTAAGCATAGGGTCCCTTATTTTTATAGCTGCACCTAATTTTAGCTTTGGGGGAAAAAGTTTAGGGCTGTAATTTTTAAACTTAATTTTATTTGGGGCAAAGGTGACTTCTTATTTTTAATAGTGTTAGCTTAAGTCACTCCATCTTGGTTTGATTTTTAAGGTTCTTCACCCCCACCCCCACCCCCACCCATAAACTCTCCTCCACCTGCAGCTCAGCTAAGGGCTGTTTCTGCCCATCCTTGTTTCTTCCTGGTGAGGCTGAAGGGGCTTTGGCCTGAGCAGTGGGCATCTGTCCCCATGTCCCCAACCCATTTCCTCCTTTCTGGGTAACAGAGGCCTGCGTTCACGACAGTCAGCCACCACACCCCACTGCCATTCCGCACGGGCCTGTGGGGTCCCTCTGTCGCTCCAGCCCTGTGGGAGGGGGTGTCGATGTGGTTCGGGACCAACTGCAGCAGCGGGCTCAGGCACAGGTGTGCGATCCAGGCCCAGCCGAGGAGATTCCACTCTGAGACTTCAGGTAGAGCTCTTGAGAAGTTTCTCTTTCTGTGGAGTTTGAAGGCTAAAGGATGGGGCCCTGGGGGCTGCCGGGACCACCGTGTGCAGAGAACCTGCCCAAGAGTGAGGGCAGCATCCAGGAAGATGAGAAAGGAGCTGAGAAAGTCTGACGACCTTGATTGGACACCTGGATCCAGCTATGCCTGAAGCCAGAGATATAGCTTTGGGATTTTCAACTATAGTAACCTCTTAAACATACCCCAGGGTGGGCATTTAGTAGTTAAGACACCAACATCCCCTATCAGAGTATGTGGGTTTGATGCCTGCCTCTGACTTCCGACTCCAACCTCCGGCTAATGCAGACTGGAAGGCAGTGGTGCTGGCTCAAGTAATAGGGTTCCTGCCAGCCACGTGGGAGACCTGGCTGGAGTTCCCAGGCCCAGGCTAGTTTGGGTCCATTCTGGCTCTGCCATTCTGGGCATCTGGGGGAGTGAATTGGCAAATGAGCTCTGTCTCTCTCTTGGCCTCTCAGATAAGTAAATGAGGCCGCACTGTGGTATAGTGGGTAAAGCTGCCATCTGCAGTGCCAGGATCCCATATGGACACTGGTTCGTGTCCTGGCTGCTCCACTTTCCATCCAGCTCCCTGCTAATGTGTCTGTCTGGGAGAGCAGTGGAGGACGGCCCAAGTCCATCCTGGCTCCTGGCTTCGGATCAGCCCAGCTCCATCCATTGCAGCCATTTGGAGAGTGAACTTCACACCCCCCTACCCCGTAACTCTGCTTTTCAAATAAATAAATAAATTTTTAAAAATACTTATTTAAAAATAATAATTAAAAAACACCTACCCTGATTTTCATTCTTGAGTTGGCTCGGGTTGGATTTCTGTGCCTTGCAAGTGACCTTCTGCGTGGAGAGAGACAGAAGCCTCCCCTTGCTTTCCTACAGGGTCAAGCCTCATGCGACACTGAGACTGTCGGTGGCCAAGAATGACCTCATGTCTACGTGTTCCTAGGCCATGCTTTCGCTGACATTCTCTCCCATTCCTTTCTGTTTGCCAGATTCTAAGGAGGGCGATGAAAAGCAACTTGTCGAACCACATTCATTTATAACGAGAAAGAACAAATCAGGTGGCTTGCGCAGTGGCGTGGTCGGCTAGGTCGGTGGCCCCGTCTCCAGGAGCCAGCTCAGTGGGAAGCCAGGTTAGAGCAGGTTGCTGGGTGAGGCTCGCTATGGGAGGTGAACATCTACTGAATAGCCATTGGGTGTTGTTGGGCAACCAGCATTGGAAAACCTGTTGTCTGGAACAATCCAAACGTCACAGAAATGCATGAAGTCAAGTGCGCATGATCCTTTCACTGTGACCCCTGAGAAGGACTTGCTGTTGACAGCTTCGTGGTCATGTGGCCACCTTAGGGACTTGTGTCGAGAGCTGTCTCGACTTGAGGATCACCTGCAATCAATGGCCTCACGGTTAGAACTCCACCTCCGGTCACTTTGCCAGCGGTGTGAGCTCTGGCAAGGATTTCAGCCTCCTTGAAGCTGCTTAGCTTTTTGGTTTGAGGGAACAGAGACGGTAGGAAATGACCGAAGGTGACTTAAGCCTCTTCCCTCCATTAAAACTGGAGGGGAGGGGGTTAGGGAGGCTCGGTTGTTTATGTACCCTGGGGTGTAACTGACCTGGGTGTCCTTGATCCCCTCCCAGGGACTCTTGGTAAAGATACTCAAGTGGCCGGTTCAGCCAGAACTTCTAAGAGAAGTGAAGTTGGGCGGGGCCCGTCTCTGGGGCCAGCACGGCGCGTCTCTGCAGATTGGAGATGTCCCATTCCTGCGGCGCCCGCACAGGGCTCCCTGGTCTCCGTGTGCTCGTGCTCATATTGGAACTCCGGCCGGAAATGAGTGCTTCCAGATCTCCCGACAACACCTCTGCGTGTTTCGTGTTTCAATTGCTGTACAAATACGAGCTTGCTCGTTTTCAGAAGGAAGATTTTATTTTATTTATTATTATTTTTTTCTCCTTTGAAATGCCGTGTCTTCCATCTCTGGCTTCTCCAGGCTCAAGTTGGAGAAGCCCCGGGGCCTCCAGGTGGGGGTAGAATTTCTTTCTTTCTTTCTTTCTTCTTTCTTATTTGTTTATGTTTTTTTTCGACAGGCAGAGTGGACAGTGAGAGAGATAGAGACAGAGAGAAAGGTCTTCCTTTGCCGTTGGTTCACCCTCCAATGGCCGCCGCGGCCGGCGCGCTGCGCTAATCCGATGGCAGGAGCCAGGTGCTTCTCCTGGTCCCCCATGGGGTGCAGGGCCCAAGCATTTGGGCCATCCTGCACTGCACTCCCTGGCCACAGCAGAGAGCTGGCCTGGAAGAGGGGCAACCCCGACAGAATCCGGCGCCCCGACCAGGACTAGAACCCGGTGTGCCGGCGCCGCTAGGCGGAGGATTAGCCTAGTGAGCCGAGGCGCCAGCCTGGGGGTAGAATTTCACACGCAGCTGCAGGTGGGGAAGCTGGAGCCGGGGCGGCCCAGGGGAATGGGCGTGAAGGAGACACCGCGCAGGTCACCGCAGAGCCAGGCCCTGAGGAAGATGCTGAGCTTTAGGTCCTACAGGCGGGCAAGGAGGTGGGAGGTGATGCCAGGAGACCCAAGTGTCTGATCCACCCCTGCTCTCTGTTGCTGGTCGGAACCCCCACCCCCAAACCCCAGTACTCAGGCGGCTGCAGAGAGCCGGGTCCCCACCAAACGCCCCCGTGCCCCTCAGGACCTGCGCCCGCGCACAGCCTGCATGACTGCGCGGCGTCCCCTCTCTCTCCGCCCCACCTGCCTGTGGACGCCTGCAAGAACGCTCAGCAAAGCTCCGAGGGGCTGAGCGGCACAGAGCGGGAAGCGAAGCCCCGGGAATGTCTGCGTTTGTCTCTGCTTCCTAGAGCCTCCCACGGATGTGTCTTTCGAGGCTGTTGTGTTGGCTTTCTTCAAAGGATGCTCCGGAGCTATGCAGTTTGTGTGTATTCGTGCGTGTGGCCGGGAACCTCGGCCATGGCTGTACTCGGGGTCACGTATACGCAGCAGGGAAGATTCTGTCTTGGGGAGAAGCCCTGGAAGAAGCTTTATGCTTCCTCTGAGGGCAGATTGTATCATCCACACTGCTCAGGATTCTGAACTGCCTAATTGACTGTTTTCCGTTTTTGCTTTGACCACCAGGAAGCTCAACCATAGAAACAATGAAATATCACGTTGGACAGGTGGTGCTACATTCCATCCCCATCCTCTCAGTCTGCCCCTTTTCTAGTTTATGGAGTACCTAGTCCTGCTGTCTGGTGGTTGATGTTGGCATTGATATTCCATTTACATGCATTTTCTTTTTTTTAAAAAATTTTTTTGACAGGCAGAGTGGACAGTGAGAGAGAGAGACAGAGAGAAAGGTCTTCCTTTGCCGTTGGTTCACCCTCCAATGGCCGCTGTGGCCAGCGTGCTGCGGCCAGCGCACCGCGCTGATCCGATGGCAGGAGCCAGGTGCTTCTCCTGGTCTCCTAAGCGGGTACAGGGCCCAAGCACTTGGGCCATCCTCCACTGCACTCCCTGGCCACAGCAGAGAGCTGGCCTGGAAGAGGGGCAACCGGGACAGAATCTGGCGCCCTGACTGGGACTAGAACCTGGTGTGCCGGCGCCGCAAGGTGGAGGATTAGCCTAGTGAGCCGCGGCGCTGGCCCCATTTACATGCATTTTCAAAAAATTATTTATTGGGACCAGCGCTGTGGTGTAGTGGGTAAAGCCCTGGCCTGTAGTGCCGGCATCCCATATGGGCGCCGGTTCAAGACCCGGCTGCTCCACATCCAATCCAGCTCTCTGCTATGGCCTGGGAAAGCAGTAGAAGATGGCCCAAGTCCTTGGGCTCCTGCACCCACGTGGGAGACCTGGAAGAAGCTCCTGGCTCCTGGCTTTGGATTGGCACAACTCTGGCCATTGCAGCCATCTGGGGAGTGAACCAAAGGAGGGAAGACCTCTCTCTCTCTCTTTCTCTCTCTCTGCCTCTCCCTTTCCACAACTCTGCCTATCAAAGAAATAAATATATCTTAAAAATATACAGAGGAGAGGCAGGCAGACAGACAGACTGAAGTCTTCCATTTGCTGGTCTTCTCCCCAGATGGCTGCGGGGCCAGGCTGAAGCCAGCAGCCCAGAAATCAATCTGCGTCTCTCCTGTCGGGGGCAGGGAACCACATGCTTGAACCATCACCGGGTGCCTCCCAGGGTGCACCTGCGCAGGAAGCTGGACCTGGAAGCAGAGCTGGACCCAAACGCAGCCACTACGATGGGGGACGCGGGCGTCCCAGGCGGCGCCTTAACTGCTACGCCAAAGCCTGCCCTGCTCATACGCATCTCCGGGACATAATTCCAACGTTTTTCCGATTGTGGAACACATAGAAGCAGAAACGCAAGAGCAAAGAAATGAAGGGAAGTAGTGGAAGAGTCGGCAAACATGGGACAGAAGATGGCGGTGGTGGGGAGAGTGTGGGCACGCACCTGTCCCCTCTGGCGTCCTCGGATTAACCCCCTGTGCTTCCACCCCCTTGGACTCGCTGTTCTGGGTACCGCAGGCTGGGAGACGACATGTGCTTCCTCCCCGCCTCTCCTCTGCTCGTCACATTCCAGGGAGCTCAGGCTCCGGGCTGGGCTCTGCACCACTGAACCATGCAGAAATTCATCCTCCCACCTCCCAGTGGCCGGTGATCCATTAAACTGCTCTCCAGGGAGATCAGCCCAAGGTCCGGAGGGGTCCTTTCCTCCCCAGGTGGTCCGTCCTTGCCTTTGCAGAGGGCCCGGGAAGGAAGGCGCTGGGCTGGAAATAGCTGAGGGTGCCGAGCGCCAGGGGCCCCGAGTCGGGGCCGGGAGGGCTGTGTTTGAGTAGGCCGGCGGGTTTGCGTTAAATCTCAGCTGGGTATCTTGGGGTGACCCCTTGACTTCTCTGATTTCCTGTTCCCTCAGCCGCCTAATGGGGAATGCAAAGGTGTTTGTCTCAGGAATCCAGAAAATTCGATGCAAGCTGGTGTAACCCACCAAGCAAGGGTGCTGTTTTTTTTTTTTTTTTAATTTTTAAAATTTTTGTTTTTGGCTCAAGTGACCAAGAAGTCCAGAGCTGGCCCGGCGTTGGTGCGTTCAGACCAGGGGGCTCTCACGGAAGCTACCATTTGTCGTGTGCTTTCCTGGATTGCTCATTTATTTACTCCGCACCACACACCCGAGAAGTAAACACCATTACTGCCTTACAGATCAAGAAACTGGGTCACACAGGAGACGTGCAGGGCCAGGCTGTGCAGCCAGGGTGCCGCCTGGGGAGTCCAGATCCCGAGCCGGCGCGCTAACCACTCGGCCTCACTGCCTCCTTGATGAGCCTCCACCCACCCACCCCCACTGCAGCTTTCTCTTCTGACCTCAATTTCTTTGTGTACTTTACAGAACTGCACCTGCCCCCAGGCTCGGCACAGCCGCCTTCCCAGGCACGGCCAAGTTCTGTGCTGCCCAGCCGCCCTGCTACCTAGGGTGCAGAGGGCGCCAGCAGGCAACGCTGCCTTGCGGGAACAGTTTGCTCATGGATCCAGCATGGAGCCCAGCGCTCTGTGTTAGTGATCACATGCCCTCGGGGTAACGAGGGAGCCCCGGACACGCGGCACTGCCAGCATTGCCACCATCGGCCTGGAGCCCCCAGGACGCATCTCTTTAGGCCCCTAGTCACAGCGCTGGGAGGTGACCACTCGGACTCCCGACTTCCAGGCCACCTTGGGCTTGCCGGTCTCTAGCCGGCTGCAATGCACTCTGTTCCGCCCCCTTCTCCCTGACGCCCCAGACCTTCCACGGTGGCCTCTGCAGTTCACGGGCCATTATCAGTCAGAAGCCCCACGCCTCGCCCTCTTCCCTGGGGTTCCCTTGCTCTCTGGTGCTCACACAAACTGGGCTCCCCCCAGGGCTCTGCTTGGCCAGCTGCCTCCCACAGCTTCTGTACCACGGGGCCTGGAGGTGGCCAAGAGGCACCTTTACTCCTTATAGCCATGTGCACACTGGTCTCCCACCCCTGAGAGAGAGAGAGAGAGAGAGAGAGAGAGAGAATATCCTATCCCCTGTTTCACTGTGATAGCCAGGTCTGGGCCAGGCTGAAGCCAGGAGCCAGGAGCTCTCTCCAGGTCGCCCACGTGGATAGCAGGTGCTCAAGCACCCGCACCATCCTCTGTTGCCCTCCTGGGCACGTGAAGCTGGATGGGACGTGGAACGGCCAGGACTTAAACTGGCACTCCAACACGGGCTGCCAGCGTTGCAAGCTGCAGCTTCATTGGCTGTGCCCCAAAGCCAGTTCCCATGTTTTGTTGTGACCCATAAGCATACGCCACACTGTCAGTGTCATGCATCCAACTCTTGACCTACCTCTTCCTGTTTTTCTGGCTCATTCTTTTTGGTATGCAAATGGTGACAATCCTTGGACGTTGGAACCTCAGTGTTCCTATTGGGGGTTCATGGGCTCTTGTCCCTAATATCCTTCCTCCTCTTCCTCCCAAGCTACAGGTCCATGGTCAGTTAGCACAATCACCAGCAAGCAGCTGGATCCAGTCCTGCAGGTTTTCCGTGCCTGTACCAGGCTGAGGAGAACACACAACCATACTGGGCAGTCCGACTTCACCTCAACCTTGATCTTCCAGGGGCCTTTTTTCATTTTGACTTTAAAAAAAATTTTTTTAAATTTTTTTGACAGGCAGAGTGGACAGTGAGAGAGAGAGACAGAGAGAAAGGTCTTCCTTTTGCCATTGGTTCACCCTCCAGTGGCCGCTGCGGCTGGCGTGCTGCGGCCGGCGCACCGCGCCTATCCGAAGGCAGGAGCCAGGTGCTTCTCCTGGTCTCCCATGGGGTGCAGGGCCCAAGGACTTGGGCCATCCTCCACTGCACTCCCGGGCCACAGCAGAGAGCTGGCCTGGAAGAGGGGCAACCGGGACAGAATCCGGGGCACCGACCAGGACTAGAACCCCGTGTGCCGGCGAGGCAAGGTGGAGGATTAGCCTAGTGAGCCGCGGCGCCGCCCCCAGGGGCCTTTCAAAGCCCTCTTTGTTGCGGGGTCATTCATTCTTCCTTCTCTAGATAGAACATGTTTGTTTCCTTTCCTCTGTTCTCTCCTCAAACCCCCACACTCCCTGGTTGCTTACTCTCACTGTTGACTTTGCTGTCCATTTCACTGAGATATTGAGATACTTAGAAGAGAGCTTGCCCAGTATCCCCACCCCCATCTGCTCCCACACCTCCCCCTTCCCTCCTGTTCCCATAAACGGGCATTTGTGCTTCCAGTTAAATTGGATCCCCTCCCCTTGAGTCTGGTCAAGGACGTTGTGAAGGTCATTTTATCTCTTTTCTATAACCCAATTCTTTTGCTGTTTTCTGGATCATTCCCAGTGGTATGAAAACATTAAAATCTCATCTTTATTTGAGAGACAGCGTCAGAGTAAGATAGATACACAGAGAGCGTCCCATCCGCTGGTTCACTCCCTAAAAGCCTACAGTGCTGGGACTGGGCCAAGGCCAAAGTCAGGAGCCTGGAATGCAATCCAGGTCTCCCACATGGGAGGCGGGAACTCAGTTTCCTGAGCCATCACGGCTGCTTCCTGGTCTTCACTTGTGGGAAGCTGGAATCAGACGCTGGAGCTGGGGCTTGAGCCCAGGCATTCTGATGTGATGTGTGGGCGTCCTCGCTGCCAGCTAAATGCCCACTCTCTACGTATCTTAGCCTAAACTCCCCACAAACAGACTGACCTAGACCCTGCTCCCGGCCATCTGCTGTTCTTTTATTCTCCTTTGATCACAAACAGCCTCTGGCCCCTTCTTCCTGTGGTCTTTTGCCTCCAATATGTTTTATGAAATTACAAAAACAAACAAACAAACAAACAAACACTGTAACAGATTTAGCTGGGAAAGGGGGCTATCTGCATGAAAAAGAATGATGCTTTTACCTAATGCCACCTGTGCGAATTAACCTAAAATGGATCAGAGACCTAAGTGTCCGACCTAAAACCGTAAGATTCTTAGAAGGAAGCTTAGGGGTAAGTTTTATGTCACTGGATTTGGCATTGCACTCTTGGGTAAGATACCAAAGCCACAGGTGACATAAGGAAAGGCTCTTTCTACCAACAGAGTAAAAACCAATCCGCGGAATGGGAGAAAGGACTTGCGGATCATATATCTGACACGGAATTAACGTCCAGAATATAAAGAAGACTCCAGAAACTCAGCAACAACAGATAAACTGGACAGCCTGATTCAAAATTGGGCAAAGGGCTTCAATGGTTCTTTTTTTTTGGTTAAAGCTTTATTTTATTTATTTGAAAAGAAGAATGACAGAAGGAGAGAGAGAGAGAGAGCAGGGAATGGGGAGAGAGAAACAGAGACAGAAAAAGAGAGAGTTCTTCTATCCCTTGGCCCACTCCCCAAATAGCCACAATGGCCAGGACGGGCCAGGTTGAAACAGGAACCAGGAACTCCATCTGGTCTCTCATGTGGATGGCAGGTCTCCCATGTGAAGTGATATCTCATTATAGTCTTTTTGCTTTTAAAGATTTATTTATTTGTTTGAAAGGCAGAGTTAGAGAGAGAGAGAGAGAGAGAGCTTCCATCTGCTGGTTCACTCCCCAAACGCCTGCAATGGCCGGAGCTGGGCCGAGCTGGGCCGAGCTGAGCACTTGGGCCATCTCCCACTGCTTTCCCAGATGCATTATCAGGGAGCTGGATGGGAAGTGGAGCAGCAGGGACTCGAACCCGCGCCCATATGGGATTCCGGTGCTGCAGGCAGCGGCTTTATCCGCTACGCCACAGCACGAGCCCCTCATTATAGTTTTGATTTGCATTTCTCTAATGATTAGTGATGTTGTGTTTCTTTCCATGTGCTTACTGACCATTTGTTTATCTTCTTTGAAGAAATGTCTATTTAGGAGACCAATGTTGTGGTGCAGTGGGTTAAGCCACCGCTCATGATGCCTGCATCCCATCTCAAACCGCTGGTTCGAGTCCCAGCTACTCTGCTTCAGATCCAGCTCCCTGCTAATGGCCTAGGAAAAGCAGCAGAAGATGGCCCAAGTGTTTGGGCCCCTGGCACCCACATGGGAGACCTGGCTGAAGCTCTTGGTTCCTGGCTTCAGTTTGGCCCAGTCCTGGGCAGTTGCAGCCATCTGGGGAGTGAACCAGCAGACGGAAGATCTCTCTCTCTCTCTCTCTCTCTCTGCCTTTCAAATAAGTAAGTAAATAAATAAATCTTTTAAAAAACAATTACCATAGGATCCTGCACTTCCGATGTTGAGAATACACTCAAAAGACTTGAAAGCAGGATCTTGAAGAAATAGTTGTACATCCATGAGCTTATCGCAGCATCATTCACAACAGCTGAAATGTGGGGCAACAGGCGCCCGCCGAGGAAGGGCTGCGGAAGCCACCCGTGGTGTGTCCCTACAGCGGACTGCTGTTCGGCCTCAAAGAGAAGGAAACTCGCAGTCGGCCAGCACGGATGAACCCTGAGGAGAGTGTGCTACGTGAAGCAGACGCAGATGCTGTGAGCTCCGTCACACAGACACTCGAGTGGTCAGATGTATAGAGACAGGAAATGAGGTGGCGATTGACAGGGACTGTGGGTGGGGGATGGGGAGGTACTGTCTACTGGGTGTGGAGTTTCATGGAGATGGATGATGCGATGACCGCAACATTCGGAAGCACTCAGCATTGGCGACCTGTTCCCTCCAAAGGGGTTTACGTTGCTCGCACAATAAAAGAAGAGAGAAAAAGCCACAAGGTTGCAAGTACTTTGCTGTCAATACCAATACCAGAACCACTAAGTCCTCCACTTAGTGTCTACCACCAAAATGCTACTGCACTTGTAGTGTTGTGCGTCTCACTGTGCATCCTTCTGTCCATCCACTGACTCATCTTATTTTTGTGCATTTCAAATTAAACTGCAGATACCAGTACATATCCCTTTAAATAATATGAGCATTATTACTTAGGCCATGATATTTCATTTTTTAAAAAATTTATTTATTTATTTGAAAGTCAAAATTACACAGAGAGAGGAGAGGCAGAGAGAGACAGAGGTCTTCAATCTGCTGGTTCGCTCCTCAATTGGTTGCAACGGCCGGAGCTGTGTTGATCCGAAGCCAGAAGCCAGGAGCTTCTTCCAGGTCTCCCACATGCGTGCAGGGGCCTGAGGACTTGGGCCATCTCCCACTGCTTTCCCAGGCCCTAGCAGAGAGCTGGATCTGAAGTGGGGCAGCTGGGACTCCAACCGGCGCCCATATGGGATACCAGCACTACAGGCAGCGGCTTTACCTGCTATGCCACAGCACCAGCCCCCATAATATTTCTGCAGTTTGTTTTCTTTCATGGCAAAATTTGCATGCAATGGAATGTTCACATTCTAATAGACACCTTCTTTGTCTTTTAAACCTGGCAACCCAGGCTTTCTCCCTCAGCATCCTACAAGGAACTTCATGTGACCAAATCCAATGGACAACCCCTTGTCCTTTTAAAAAATGATTTATTGATTTCATTGAAAGGCAGAGTGACAAAGAGAGAGGGAGGGAGGGGGAGGAAAGAGAGAGGAAGAGATCCATCTTCCATCTGTTGGTTCACTCTCCCAAATTCCCACAATAGTCAGGGTTGGTCCAAGCCGAAGCCAGGAGCCAGGAACTCCACCCAGTTCTCCCACGTGGGTAGCAAGGGCCCAGGCACTTGGGCCATCTTCTGCTGCTCTCCCAGGGGCATTAGAGGGAGTCGGGTTGGAAGTGGAGCAGCTGGGACTCGAACCAGCACTCTGATATGGGACCCTCACTTCTTGTGTGGCAGCTTAACCTGCTGTGCCACAACACTGGGCCCCAGTCTTTGGTCCCTGATTTACTTAGTTAACAGAAGCAGCACTTGACCTGCCCGAGGGCTGTCTCCTTTCTTCCGGGGACTTCCAGAACACGTCTTCTCCTCCCCTTTCAGGCACTTCTGCTGATCTTGCAGCGCCTCGGACCCTGAGGTTGGAGGGCCCAGGACTCAGGACTGGCTCCCTTCACTGTCCAGCTGCACTCCTGCCTTGGGAATCTCACCTGTCCTGTGGTTCGTGGGTCACCTGCAGGCCAGCAGCTCCCACATTCACGTCTCTGGTCCTGATGTGCCCAAGTTTTGTGCTTCCGACTGCCCTCATCTCAGACTCAGGGTGTCCCCAGCTGAACTCCTCCAATCTCCATAAAACCCAGTCTATTTGTACCCTCTCTTTTGTAAAACAAAAACAAAAACAAAAACCTTAATTTTTTTAAATCCAGGCTCATAGCAACATGAAGAGGAAGGAACAGACACTTCCCATCCAGCCGCTGTGCTGCAGACACCCAAGGCTTCCCCCATCATGACCATCCCCCACCAGAGGGGTCCATTTGTTACTGCAGATGAACCTATGCTGAGACTCATCCGTCTAGCACCCAAGCTCACAGTGGGGTGCACTCCAGGTGCTGTACCACCTTCTTCTTCTTCTTCTTCTTCTTCTTCTTCTTCTTCTTCTTCTTCTTCTTCTTCTTCTTTTTTTTAAATCCAACCAGAACATTTTGAGGTTGATTTTTTTGGATATTATTCATTTTAATGATTTCTTTTCACTTTGTAATCACAGAAAACAACATTTTCAATCTATTTAAGCATAGGTATCATTACATTAAAGCTAACTATACTGCTAAGAAAACCATGTTGACTTCGTGGAGATATAAGCAAGAAAATTCTAGTTATCAAGATATAATGATATTAGTTATTATAGATTGCCAACTCATGAACTGCACACACAATCACTTGACTAGATTCACATGATGTATTTGATGCTAATTCCCATTATTGAGTTTACCCATCCCATGTACCCATCACAGGACATTATTGAAGTGAGTTAGACCTTTAGAGCTACTAACTAAAATGGTGGCAAATCAGGTATATCATTATGGCAGGAGACTACTTCAGTGGTTTTTTCCCTTCCTCTAACCAGATAAAAATGTTGTATATTGCCTTAACAGAAATAAACTTGAAATAAAATGCAGCAGTGAATAATAAGCATGTTTCAAAGGTAGTTGCATTTGCAAATGAAAGCACATATTAATGTCAATAAATTGATGTAATAAGAATGCAGTGTTTGAGGTTGATTTTTTTAAAATATTTTATTTATTTATTTGAGAGGTCGAGTTACAGACAGTGAGAGAAAGAGACAGAGAGAGAGGTCTTCCTTCCATGGTTCACTCCCCAACTGGCCACAATGGCTGGAGCTGCGCTGATCTGAAGCCAATGTGGGTGCAGGGGCCCAAGCACTTGGGCCATCTTCTACTGCTCTCCCAGGCCATAGCAGAGAGCTGGATCGGAAGAGGAGCAGCCGGGACTCGAACTGATGCTCATATGGGATGCTGGCACCGAAGGAAGGGCTTTCCCTGCTACACCACAGCACCAGCCCCCAAACACATTATTGTAAAAAAATGTTGTGCTATGCTGAAGCTGCATAAATGAAAGACACCCCTTGCTATAGCCTTTTCTCTGTTACACTGATCCTCAATCTCCTTCCAGAACTGGTTGTTTGACATCATTGCCTTGCGTCTCGTTCGTGTACTATGTTGTTACGGCTTATGATGGCTGTGTCTACACTGCACATGCACAGTCTTTTTTGGGTCATTTCCTAAACAAGACAACAATTTATATAGCATTTACATTGTATGAAGTATTGTAAGTAATCTAGGGGCAATTTAAAATATGCAAGAGACTGTGTGCAGGTTATATGCCAGCAATATGACATTTCATTCCTTTTTTATTATTAATAACACACTGTGACATTTTACATAAGGGACCTAAATAACCATTGGTTTTGGTATCTGGAGGGGTGAGGGGGCCTGGGACGAGCACCCTGCAGACTTGCAGGGACGCCTAGAGATGTACGAGAGTTCCAGAAGGGGAGGAGACAAGGGAAGCAGAAGTACTTGAAGAAACTGACGGGAAACTCCCCACTTCGGTGTGATCCACAGATCCAGGGACCTCCTGAACTCTGAGAAGGAGTAACGCCTCCGTGAGTGACTGGGCAGCGACGTGTGCCCTGTGCCGCGAGGTGGGGCTGCGGGTTGGGCCCTCAGCTCGGCATTCAAGGCTCTCCAGGACATTCTCGGTCATCCGCGGAGCTTCACTCTTCCCCCTGCCCCCATCCTTGGCTCTGCAAGCCTTTCTCTGAGCCTCAGTTTCCCCATCATGCCGCTGTGCTGCAGACACCCAAGGCTTCCCCCATCATGACCATCCCCCACCAGAGTGGTCCCCAAGCTCCAAGGTGCCTCTAAGGTTCACCCTGGGCCCTCCGCAGTCCTCCCATAGTCCCCAATATCTGCACAGCAATATAGATAATATCACAATCAATCTCCCAAAGCCAAAGATAAAGATAAAATCTTGAAATCAGCAAGAGAAAAGCTGCTCATCACGGATAAGGGATCTTCAACAGATTAACCATTGATTCGCTTAAAGCACTGCAAGAAATGACAAGGGAATTAAAGTAGCATCACGAACAGAAGATGGTGATGGAGGGAAAGAGCAGAAGAGTTCTGCGCATGGGACCTGTGCAGAACTCACAGCAAGGCGGCAGATGTAAACCCTACGCCGTCAGGAACTACCTGAAACGTCGTTGGTTAAACACTGTAATTAAAAAAGCAGAAAAGCAGAGATAGCGAGTTAAGCGTAGCTAGTTAAGCCTCCATCTGCAGAGCTGGCATCCATATGGGTGCTGGTTCAAATCCCGGCTGTTCCACGTCTGATCCAACTCCCTGCTAATGGCCTGGGAAAGCAGAAGATGATCCAAGTGCTTGGGCCCCTGCACCCGCATGGGAGACCTGGAAGAAGCTCCTGGCTCCTGGTCATTGTGGCCGTTTGGGGAGTGAACCAGCAGATGAAAGACCTTTCTTTCTGTCTCTCCCTCTCTCTGTTTATAAATCTGCCTCTCAAATAAATAAATAAATGAATGAATAAATCTAATTTTTTAAAAAGCAGAGATTGGAAGATTGGATTAAAAATATGATCCAACTACGTGTTGTGTAGAAGAGAAACAATTTAGATTTAAGGACATACGTGATTGAAAGTAAAAGGACAGGAAAAGATATACGATGACATAGCAGCTAAAAGAGAGCTGGAGTGGTGTGCAAATATCGTGCCAACTATCCCTTAACGATTGTTACTCGAGGCTGCAATAGAAAGTGGTCAATTCGTCAAGACAGCACAATCATTATAAACACGTGTGCACGAACACAGCTCCGACATGCGGGAAGCAATACTGGTCAGAACTGAAAGGAGAGATAGACAATTCAACAAGGCTGAAGACGTCAAAACCTCACTTCCTTTTTTATTTTATTTTATTTTATTTTATTTTATTTTATTTTATGAACATAAATTTCCAAAGTACAGTTTATGGATTACAATAGCTTCCCCCCCCCATAACTTCCCTCCCACCCACAACACTCCCCTCTCCCACTCCTTCTCCCCTTCCATTCACATCAAGATTAATTTTCAATTATCTTTATATACAGAAGATCAATTTAGCATATGTTAAGTAAAGATTTCAACAGTTTGTACCCACACAGAAACACAAAGTGTAAAATACTATTTGAGTACTAGTTATAGCATTAATTAAACACCTAAGAGTAATTGTGTATTAATTACAGAGTTCAACCAATAGTTTTAAGTAGAACATAAAAAATACTAAAAGGGTAAAGTATTAAGTTCTTTTTTTCTTATATAGTTTTTTAAATTTAATAAATGTGAATTTACAAAGTGCAACTTTTGTATTGTTGTGGCTCCCCCCCCAACCTCCCTCCCTCCTGCGGCCCTCCCCTCTCCCACTCCCTCTCCCATCCCGCCCTTCATCGAGTTTCATTTTCAATTACCTTCATATACTGAAGATCAACTTAGTATATACTAAGCAAGGATTTCAACAGGCTGCACTCACACAACCGCACAAAGTATAGGGTATTGTTCGACTAGTAGTGTTGTTTTTAAGTTTCATAGTAAAACACATTAAGGACAGATTTCCTATGTGGGGAGCATGTACCCAGTGACTCCCATTGTTGATTTAACAATTGGCACTCTTATTTATGACATCAGCAATCACCCAAGACTCTTGCTATGAGCTGTCTAGGCTATGGAAGCCCCTTGAGTTCACCAACTCTGAACTTAAAACCTCACTTTCAACAATGCACAGAATAACAAAACAGAACGTCAACAAGGAAATAGAAGAGTCGAATAACCCTTAAAAGGCCATTAAGCCAAACAGACATCTATAGAAGCCTCCACCCAATGACAGCAGAATATAAATTCTTCTCAAGGGCATAGGGAATGTTTGCAAGAGCAGACCATATGTGACGCTGTAAAACAGCCCTCAACACATTTAAAGGGATTAAAATCATCTATGTTTTCTGACCACAGTGTAACAAAGTTAAAAATCAGTAATAAAGGGAAACTTGAGACATTCACAAATATGTGGCAATTAAAAAAGCAAATTCCTAAATAATCAATGGGCCAAAAAAGAAATCGTGGGAGTAACGAGGGACTTTGAAATAAATGAAAACAAGTTACTCAAAGTAATGGCATGCAGCTAAAGCAGGATTAGAGGGCAATTTATAGCCATAAACACCTGTGTGAAGCAAGATTGACGCTCTCAAAGCAATAACCCGACCTTCTCCAAGAAACAGGAAGAAAAAGAAGAAAAAATAGTAGGGGTGGGGGGGAGGAAGAAGGGCAGGAGAAGAGGGGAGGAGGAGGAAAAACTATAACCAAAGAAATCAGAGTAAAAAAATAATAAGGATTGGAGAACATCAATCAAAGAAAGGATAGAACAATAGAGAAAAACCAATGCACCCAAAAGATGTTTCTTTGAAATAATCAACAACATTGATAAATCTTTTGCTAAACTGACCAAGTAAAAAGAGAAAAGACTTAAGTTATTAAAACAATGAATCAAAAAGAGGATACTACTACTGGCCTTGCCTTATAAGAGAACGCTATGAAATTGAATACTGGGGCCAGTGCTGTGGTGTAGTGGGTGGGGCCGCTGCCTTTGACGCCGGCATCCCAGTTCGAGTCCCAGCTGCTCCACTTCTGATCCAGCTCCCTGCCAATGGCCTGGGAAAAGCAGTGGAGGATGACCTAGGTGTTTGGGCCCCTGTACCCACATGGGAGACCTGGATAAAGCTGCTGGCTCCTGACTTCAGCCTGGCCCTTGTGGCCATCTGGGGAGTGAGACAGGAGATGGAAGATCCCTCTCTTTCCGTTTTTCCTTTTCTCTCTGTGGCTCTGACTTTCAAGATAAATAGATAAATCTTTAAAAAAAAAAGAAGAAAAAAATGTATAACAACAAACATAGTAACTGTGATGAAATAAACAAACTCCTAGAAACATTGATTCCAAAACTTACCCAAGAAGAAATAGAGGGTGGGTGCTGTGGCACAGTGGGTTAAACCACTGCTCGGGACACAGCATCCTATACCGAAGTCCTGTTCAGTCGTGGCCCCTCTGCTTCCAATCCAGCTTCCTGCTAATGCATCCCGGGAGGCAGCAGATTATGGTGCAAGTGCTTGGGCCCTGCCACCCACGTGGGAGACCAGGCAGTGCTCAGCTCCTGGCTGAAGCCTGACCCAGCCCTGGCTGTTGCGGGTGTTTGGAGAGTGAACCAGCAGGTGGAAGATCTCTCTCTCTCCCTCGAGTAGGTGAAAATAAAGAAACACCTTTAACAAACAAACAAACAAAACATAGTAGGAAACCTGATAGACCCATAACAAGGAGATTGAATTAATAATCAAAAAATTCTCGAGGCCCACGCTGGCTGTGGCATAGTGGGTAAAGCCGCTACCTCCAGTGCCGGCATCCCATATGGGCGCTGGTTCGAGTCCCGGCTGCTCCACTTCTGATCCAGCTCTCTGCTATGGCCTGGGAAAGCAGTAGAAGATGGCCCAAGTCCTTAGGCCTCTGCACCCACGTGGGACACTCGGAAGAAGCTCCTGGCTTCGGATTGGCGCAGTTCCAGCCGTTGCAGCCAACTAGGAAGTGAACCAGCACATGGAAGACCTCTCTCTCTCTCTCTCTCTCTCTGCTCTCCTTCTCTCTCTGTGCAACT